ATACAAGGTACTAGTTTCTGGAAAACACGGAGCAAGGGCAGGTGTCTGATCAAATTTCCGCATGAAAACCGTGGCATCCGGCACCCGTCCATGTCCCGTCGCAAACCGGCTGTGTTTTTTTGGTAAGTCTCCACAGGATGCGCAGAAACGATCATGCGCAAACTTCAGCGAGAGAGAAAATCCCGTTTGACATGGAAGTGGTGCCTAGCGATTGCTTGTGTGATCGCGCCACGCCGCTTCTTTGCCACGCTGCAGGATAGCCGTGTGATTGGCACCTAACGGCCTAACCACGGGACCTCGATGGGACATGTGATCGGGCTGCCGCATGTTACTTTGCTCTGGGGCTAACAGCCACACTTCCCCCCCCCCGCATTTTCCGGCCAGTGTGACCGGGACCAAAGTTTTATTCAAAGTGTTAGCTTTTGTGTGCAAAGCACATTTTTTCAGTGTGTTTTGCACACAAAAGCTTACATTTGATAAGAACTTTGTTGGTGTTAAAGGTGCCACTGGACTCAAACTTTGTTCTGCACTTTGGCGAAGTATTCTGTATATCTAGATGCTTCAGTCTGTTAAAAATAATTCCCACAGCTAATATACGGTTCTGTCCATAGCTACAGTGCCAAATCTTGCCTCCATTATGTAATATTATTTATTTATTTGGATTTTTTATGCTGTCTCTCAAAAAAACCCTGCTTGAGCTTTTTATCCTTCACCCCAGACTAAAAGCCTAATGTCTGAACATTCTGGCACACACACACGCACACACGGGTGTATGTGAGTGTTTCGAATACACGTTGCAACAGTAGCATATTTACCTGCATAATATAGTTTCTTTCCATATGAATAGAGTCCTATAATATCTTCAGCATAAGTAAAAGTTTTTCAACAAGAAAAACTGTATCAGGAATGTTTAGTAGGCTTATGCGCAGTAAGTATATGCAACAGCTGCAAGAAAATCTGAAAATAGCATAAATTGAGCACTCAGTTTTGACCTTATATTTTAAGGTTTCAAGCAACTAATATTTTAAACTTCATAAACGTATCTGAACAAATACATTTCTTTTAAAAAAAATCACAACCATTCTAAATAATCTCTTCCGAATTATATTTAACAAAATATTCAACAGTCGCCAGCAGAATATTAACAACAAATAGTAGTACTGAGAAGATAATAAAATTCAGGTTTAAAACATTGCTATCCCTACAATAAAAGATTTAAGTTTAACAGATTTAAAACAACACATGTCCCAGGTGAAGAAATTGTAATATTATTTAATCTAAGCAATTCAAGGTCAAACATTGCTAAAACATTTCCATAATCTGACAAATTCACTAAACAAATTAAATGCATCAAAAGGAAACTTAGCTTTATAAATACACGTCTCAGCACACACACTAGTTTCATAAAATATTACAGTTCTCTTTCTTGCAAATAATGAAAGCATGTTGCCATGTTCCTGAACCTTCAACTGAAAAAATGTATTTTAATAATCTAGCATCGGTAGAATCTACACAAAAATCAAGAAAATACAATCTACCAATTTCAGCCTATACGCTAATTTCATTTTTCCATTCAATACAATTAACTGGGAGTAAAATTGGCCCCCAAGTCCGGGGGGCTCGACTGTGCGACTGAACAACAACAACAACAAAATTGGCCCCAGCATGTATACACTACAATTTATTTAAAACAAAATTAAAGCCGGGGGAGAAACACTGCAGGGTAATTAGCCTCATTAAGGTTGAGGAATAAACAGAATACACTGCCCTTAAACTTTTCAAACTGAAGGTTATACCACAATTACTATATGGAACCTTTTTAGGCCCTTCTGGGTCTTGCTTTTTGCCATTAGAATGGGTTCAATCTAAATTTCTAAGGGCAGTATTACGGGTCCCAAACTCTGTCTCAAACTCCATGATTCAATTAAAAACAGGGTGTATAGAAATATTAATTCCTATAGACCCCTGCCTTCCCCCCTTGGAATGTATCTTGCGATCCCCTGCTGTGTGCATTTCCTCTTGAAGCCAAATGGGCTTCATAGCCCTGCCATAAACATACCTTCACACTTCCAGGAAGAACAGATGGCCTAGCTGACAAGACATAATTTGAAAACTGGAATTGCCCTATATCTGTTTAAACCCAATGAGAGAAGCTCCCTCGCTCTGTTCTGTTCCTGGTTGTAAGATTTGGGATGGACACTGAAATGCTCTTGTCCTGCCATGTGGTCTGAGGCAGAACAAAGAACTATTTTGTGCAGCTGAGCACATGGCTACATGCTTCCAAAGATGGACTTCTTGCTCCAAATCCCTTGGGACTATTCTGGACTGATACTTGTTCCTGACTTGGTAAATATGCTTATTATTGTGTAGTAAGGCAAAACATTGCTTAGGTTGTTCTTTTGGATTCTTCTAGTCTGATTGCAAGTCTGTACTGAATAAACCTTATTCTTGTTTATAAATAGTGTCTGCTTGATGTGCAACTGACTCCAAGCTAAGTCCTGTTGTCAGGACCGCTGACCAATTATGCTACCTTGCTAAGATTAACTGTACAGCTCTAGACAGAGTTGTGGAAGTGTAAAATCCACATGCCAACTGAGATTCTGGATCTCTAATCTCAGGCTGGTGAGGGATTAATCTAGAGATCCTGGTGGCTGTGTCTGTAAATCCAGAGAGGCTATCTCTCCTGGGTTCTTGTGTAATGTATGGTTCCAGTGTAGAATTCTCTCCCTTCGATTCCTGGATTGGCCTGGGGGGGGCAGAGAATCTATACACAGGGATCGTGAAAATAACTGCCAGAATAATTCTCTCTTCATTAAACCTTTGGGTTTAATATAAATAAAAACTCTTGTGGTCTTGCTTTGCTAATTTTGCAGGACAATTTTCAATCACGCTGGCTTAAAGCAGTCCATATAAAATTAGCTCAGGTTGGATTTTTCCCTGATTCAGTTCTTCATCTGGGTTATGATACAGCTAGCCAGCTCCTCAGGCAGAGAGTGGAAGACATAGAATGTCAACCCAACATTTCCAAAGCACCAAATTTCATTGTTACCCCCCAAAGACGTTATGTTCTCCAACCGGCCTGGAAAATGCTAACCAAAGAAGAACCTTTTCACTTGCAAGGCTAGAAGTATTGCCATCAGCAGTTGTTGAGGGTAGATATAATAAAATCCCTCAAGCTGAGAGAGTATGTTCTTGTAACATTGATGCGGTAGAGACAACAACACACGTCTTACTTCACTGCTCGATATACAGTGAAATTCGCCTGACCTTTGTCTCGCCAATATTACCAAAAGGCCCCCAAAATCTCTGAGGAAGAGATTATTAATAGATTTCTTTCTGATAAGAACACAGAGACTACTAATAAAATAGCAACATTTTGTGCCCAAGCAATAAAATTACGTTCCATTTGTTTCTAAAGGAATAGTGGGAACTTGATATGCATAACCATCTTATCAGAGTTTTAAATTTGTGCATTAAATTTTTGAATATTTTTTATTATGTTATTGTTTTATTGTCTTTCTTACCCACGATTGTTGTAGTATTTATTTATATACTGGCCGTGGGCTTTTAGAACATAAGAACATAAGAGATGCCAATGTTGGATCAGGCCAAAGGCCCATCCAGTCCAACACTCTGTATCACACAGTGGCCAGAAATACCAGTGCCATCAGGAGGTCCACCAGAGGTCCACCAGTTAATAAAATCTGACTGACTGACAGGATACACTGGAAACAACATTCATTATTTGGACCCCATTTTGAAGTCAGTTTGACCCTTCTTTTGAATAAAAATTTCTAATACACTTAAACTAATACACTCCAGAATACTAATACACTCCAGAAATTTCTATCTAATACACTTCAGTCTAGCTGAATTTTATCAACTTCAAAGCTCAGAACTATTTGATGCTTTACTCTGGGATAAACATATTAAAAGGCATTATACTGACTTGACTTAGGCACATGCTAAGTTTCATGCATTTTGGAGGAATCAAGAGTATAGCCCAATTACTTGGAACGCAAATTTTTTAACTATAGTAGCAATAATGTCCCAAATTATCCATATATTGATGGAGACTTAAAGACTGCATGTCCAATTTATCCAGTGATGCCACAGTCTAGTAGTGAAAGAAGTGTGCACGCACATGAAAGCTTATACCTTGAATAAAACTGTTGGTTTTAAAGATGCCACTGAGCTTGAATTTTGCCTATAACCAGTGAGTGATTTGTTGTCACATTGTACCTGCAGACATGACAGAGTCATGCAGGGATACAGATAGCTTCAAGTCATTACAGTGTTTCCCTCTCTCCAAGCAGTGTGTTCAGTATTGTGGCAGCATGCAGAAAACATGGTTGGACTTATCCAATATACCTTTACATATATAGTTATTGGATCTATGTTAAAAACACACTTGAAGTGGCACTAGAAGATACTGAGGAAACTCCCATGTAACTTATACAAGAACATCTACAAACAGATAAACCAAAAAGAGTCTAAGTTTAGTAAATCTTCACATTCTGTTTTTTAATCCCATTATTACAGTTTAACAATACAATTTTACAGATTTTTTTTCATGTCTCATGCTCAATTTATCCAGTGATGCCACAGTCTAGTAGTGATAGTGACATTATAATTGCTTCCATGGTAACAAATTATAAAGTCACAAACACTGATTGATTCATTTCATGCTGCCACAATCAGAAAGGAAGGTCAGACATTTTCTTTAATTAAGATATAAGTTTGCAGAGATTCTTTTGTCTCGTTTTCATCTCATGTGATTTTTAAAAAGCAACCAGATTCTTTAGCATTTTCAGAATGCTGAAAAAACACGAAATTTTCAAGGTTATTTAAGGAGCAAAACCAATCAGTTTCAGTTGAATTTAATAAGCTACTTCCACACATAATGCTACTATCGGTTACTACATCTGGTCCTGTTTATATAACATTTATTCACTGTAAAAAAGTATTTTTACCTTGCAATAGGTTTAAGTTATACTTACCAATAATACCAGCTTTTGATATTTCCTTTTCAGTTCTGTCAGGCTATCTGATGGCTCTGCATTCAGAATGCTATACCAGTCCTCTTTAGCCAACTCTCCAAAAGCCATTGCATGACTAGGTAATTATTTATAGTGTCTGTTTTAATGAGAAAGGCAAAAAATAATTTTAACAACATTTTAAAAGAATTAAAGAGATATTATGGTGGAACACATTGCTGAGAAATGGGACAATGGCGATACTCTTGAGGCCCAGAACTCAACAAAGATGACCCAAATCCTCCCCCCCCACACACAGTTGCAGCATAGTTTCCAGAATTCATTCCTCTAAACATTTTCTCCCTGTATATCCCAGTACTCATGGCAAGCAGCAACATGACAAGCACCCAATTTTATAGCTTGTTTTTTGCATCCATTGAAATCATAACATCTCATCTCACTTCAAAACATTTTTTTAAATATTTTATTTATGTTATTTATAGTCCGTCTTTCTCAAGGTGGATTACATAGAATAAATCAGTACAATCAACACAATGGGACTTCCAAAAGACAATGCAATAGGCATATGACTTGTAGACATCTGGAAAACCAACCATTTGCAGAGTACTTGCAGTGCCACCAGTGAATATATGAGAGTAAATAGGTTAAAATTGTATCCAAAGCATATAGTAATGAGGATAATGCTTCCAAATCAATTGAGAAAAGTACTGTACAGACTGATTCATCAGACCCATTACATGAAACTTGGAATTTACATTGTCTGAGTTTTCAGCCCTGCCCCCAGCCTGATCCTAGTGAGATCCAGGCCTGAGATGTTCCACCGGGCATATGGTTGAGGACAGCAACAGTTACTGAGATGAGTGGCCTGATGGGTCCCCCCCCTTTTTTTTATTCCCCATACCCCTTTGGTTAAGAACATTCCCATGGGTGGAACGTGCTTGCGGAAAAGGTGTGACACCATCTATGAAGCTGTAATCTGAATTTATTGTATGTATTTTATTGTTTATATTTACTGTATACTTTTATTATGAACTGTTTGAGATATGCTGTGTGCTGCCCTGAGCCCAGTTTTGGGAAATGGGTGGGATAGAAATTAAATGTATGTATAATGTATAAATGTATAGAACAGAAAATATTTCTCCCCAACATCCACCTCATTATAATTTTAAGACATTATAAAATACAGTGGTCCTTCCTTCTGTTGGGGTACTTTTATATTCAACATTTTAAATTTCAGATGTCATAACTGATCTTTTTTGCAACTACCTTATTCATTTAATCATTACTACATATTTAATATTACACATTTTGCCATTTCTATATACTCACTCTAACTTTTAATATATCAAAGTACAGAGGAAAGTCTATTATATATCTCATAATAAGAAAATAGTTTGATCTTTGTAACTAAAGTCTCTATCGCTACGATAAATAGTACGGGTGACAAGGGACATCCCTGGCATGTTCCTTTTTTGATTGAAATGGCTTCTATTTATCTTCCATTTATTAAAATCTTTTCTTGTTGATCTGAGTATATATCTCGTATCCAGTTCCAGAATTCAGGACCACAGCCCATATTTTGAAGTATATTCAGTAGAAAAGGCCATGTTACATTATCAAATGCTTTCTCTGCATCCAGAAATAAAAACGCTGCTTTCTTTCTTTTCTTGTTCACAAATTCGATAGCATCTATTATGAACCATATATTATTTTTCATATACCTCTTTAGTACAAAGCCTGTTTGATCAGTGTGTATTAAATTTGGTATACATTTTCTTAATCTTTCTGCCATAACTGTGGCAAAGATTTTATAATCTGTGTTCAGTAGAGAGACAGATCTATATGACTATAGTAGCACTGCATCACTGCCTTTTTTATATATTAACATTATATTCTACACTTGCCATGTTGGAGGAATTGTCTTTCCTTCTTTTATCTCATTTGTAACTTTATGTAATGGTATCCTTAAAACTTCTTTAAAATGTTAGTAATAAATTGCTGCCAGACCATCCAGGCCTGGTGCTTTGTCCTTTTTTGTATTTTTTATTGCCTGGGAGATTTCTTGAATTATTATTTGGTTTAAATTTTTTTCTGTGTTTGGGCATAAACTTTGTGGTCAGGATGTCTTTTAGATATTCTCTTATTCCTGTTTCTGCATATGTAATTTGATCTCCTTTCTTTACACGTTACTACTCTTTTTTCTTTCTCCTTCCTAAGACAGTACGCCAAGTATCTGCCAGGTCTGTTCGCATGTTGGAAATGCCTTTGTTTTATATTCTTTTTTCTGTACCTCTTCCATTTCTAACATGTCTAATTGGTTTTTGAATTGTCTGACATGTGATAGTGTGTCTTTCTTGGAGGGTGGGGTTTTTGTGTGTGTGTGCTCTTGCTCCAATCTCTGGATTTCTTCTACTAATATATCTTTTCCTCTAATAAAAGCTTTGCTTGCTTCCCAAATTGTAGCTGAGGACATTCCTTCTGTATTATTTATTTATTTATTTTAAAAAATCCTTCCATATCTTTTTTTTTACACTTACTACCTCTTCTTGTAGTACAAGAGCGTCATTTAATCTCCATCTTCCTCTTGATTTTCTGTTCCATTGACAACTACTTCTATGGGATTACGATCTGCAAATATCTTTGGTTGAATCTCTGCTTTGTCTAGATCTATTGTTAAACTTTTTGATATCCAACACATATCTATTCTTGAATGTGTTTGATGTCTATCTGAAAAGAATGTAAAATCTCTACCCTTTGTCTGAGTTTGGCTCAGTTTCGTACTCAGTGAAAGCTATGAAGTATTGCAACCTCTGAGTAGTAAATGCAATCCCCCCCCTCTTGAAATTCATTGACTGAGGTACAAAAAACTGTGCAACTAGTTCCACAGTCTTAAAATGGCACTGGGATTATGTTTCTTGACTGCATGGCAACCTATTTTGGAAACTGTGGGGACTCTGAAAAGCAAATTGAGTTATGCTGCTGAAACGGGGGAAAGACTCACTACTCAAGCTATTAGGAATATCTAAATCAGCTTTTTGGATCCGAGCCATTGAGCTTTCCCCTCCTGTCTTTCTTTCTGTCTGTCTGTCTTTCTTTTCCTTTTTGCGAAAAACCCTTGATGGGATAAACTCTGTGAAGTAATAAGTCCCACTAAATTCAACATTAGTTGTTTCCTGATAAGTACCGTATTTTTCGGACCATAAGACGCACCTGACCTTAAGACGCACCTAGTTTTTAAAGGAGGAAAACAGGGAAAAAAATATTCTGAACCTTCGGTCCATAAGACGCACTCACTTTTCCTCCCACTTTTTTTGGAAGAAAAAGTGAGTCTTATGGTCCAAAAAATACGGTATGTTTTGAACTGCAGTCTTGGCAAACTTGCTACATATACTACTATGGAACAATTTTTCAGTTTCACAAATGAGAACAAAAAACTGGAAAAGGACTGTCTTCCAATCTACTATACCCAGGGAAATAGTTCTCTTGATGCCTCCTCTCAATACAAGCACATAATGCAATCAATGTCAGGCAATGGCTAACACCTCATTACATTAATGAACAGCAGAAAAAGAGAAAGCCTTTGTAATGTGCTGACACAATAATGACAGCTTCTCATTAACCATACACCAGGGGAAAATCAGGGCCAAGGAGACAATGATCCAAGGAACACGGGGAAGAAAGAACTGACTTTTACAGAAAGGGAGGCACTTCATGGCACTCACAGAAGCCACTTGCTCAACCTGACACAAGCTCTCTGGACTGGTACAGAAATACAGGCTCGTGAAATGCACCAAAGAATAGGGAAATGTTTCGGAAATGCTTGGTAAACCATTAGTAATGCTTTGAAAATATAGCCAAACCTTTTCAGAAAACTCAAATACAAGGTAAGATTTCTATATACTCAGGAATGCAGACTTTGTAAATGAGCCAAGATAAATAACCCCAACAGTCTACTAAGGACTGAGCAGAGCCAGAATGCTTGGACTGTTGAGGACAAGTAAGTCTCGGGTAAAAGGTTAAAAAAAAAAAGGGAGATGGCAAAATTGGCTTGCTTACACTCCTGAGAGGTGGCAACACCCTGGAGAGGAAGATTTGAGAGGGTGCAGTGGGATTTCCATCCCCCCCCCAATCTCACTATTCTTCATGGGTCCCCAGCTTGTTTTCTCTAACAGTAAAGTGGCTAGCCTCAAGCCAACATCATGCAGGGCAGCAAAATGCTGCCAATCATATACTTCCTGGCATGCAGAGACAGACAGACTGACAGAGATTTTAAAGGGACAGAAAGAGGAGGATTGAGGTCAGTGCGTGTATACTGACATTATGCTGCCATGGTCCAAAGGTGAATCACAGCCCCAATTCGTCAGCTTGGTGGTTGTTTGCTTCCCCACAGTTTAGGCTCTAATTAAGCAGGTAAGTTTAGAATTAGGGGTTATGTGTAGGGTTGCCAGTCCTGCCTCCTCCCCAGCGGGGGACTTTGGGAGGCTTTCCTGGAGGGGGCACGGACATCCCCAACATGAAGACATCACTCAAAAGTGATCTCATCACATTGGGGATGTGCCTGAATCCCAAGTGGCAAATTTGCTGCTTGGAATTCAGGCGCCTGCCCCCCCCCCCAAAAAAAAGCATTTAAAGGGATCCTTTAAATGCTTTTGGAGAGTGGGGGCCCACATGCCTGAATCCCAAGTGGCAAATTCACCGCTTGGAATGCAGGCGTGCAGCTGGCGGCCACCCCTCCCTCCCCTCCTGCCATATTTAAAGGGTCCTCCAGCGGATCAGGGGGTCACGTGCTCCTGCCGATCAGCTGGAGACCCTTTAAATCTGGCAGAAGGGGAGGGAGAGGGGTGGCTGCAGGTAGGGGTGGTGCTTCCCCACCAGCCAGCTGGCCAGCAGTGGGCAGGAGCACCTGTAATCCCTACTTGAGTGCCAGTCTGCCAAATATATATTGGCTTGGATTCAGAACAGAACATTTCTCTTCCATGGCAGCCTGAAATACATCCCTAAATCCTGTTCTGAAGGGAGAGGGGTCTCCCAAGGAAAGGAATTGGAAAGAGGAGATGGGAAAATCATGCTCCATAGCTGGGAACATTGTTCTAGATCCAAGCCTATATACTTTGGCTTCCAAATCTCTTGAACGAGTCC